CAGAGCACTTAGTAAGTTCCAAATGTCTTATGAGTTCTACTTATCCTCTCAGCCTGATTGAGTCATGCTATTAACCCATTTTACAGATGAGGAAACTGAACCACACAAAAGCTAACTTGCCTGCACTCACGCAGCTAGTAAATGGAGCTAGGATTCAAATCTAACCTCTTAACCATGATGTTGGCGATCTCAAAGGAATTTTCTGAAGATTGATGAAATAAATCATGGGTTACGGTCAGCGTAATGACGAATGGTAAGTTATTCATAAAAATTAGCCATTATTTTTATTTATTAGCAACAGGCAGGTGATAATTATTCCCATACACTGCACAGGCAAATATTAAATCCAAACAAATTATTTTGTTCATCCTTTCATGGATTTTGCTAAAGAATAATTTATAAAAGACATACTGTGGCAACAGACAAACTCTAAAAATGCCACTTAGAAAAACTCCTTTACTCAAAATGAAATCATGTGCAGAATGTAAACAATAAAATTAGATTACCATTTTCTATTGACAACAGAATATTTGACCACAAATATATAAATATAGCCTTTAAAATGCAGCCTCAAACCGTAATTCTATACACATTCGCTCTAGTTTACATGTTTCTCATAAGATTTCTTTAAAATACTCTAGTTGGATATAACTGTATTTTACTAAATTAAAATTACAGTGAGAAAAACAACTTCAGAGCACTTGTTAGTGTTCTAAGCTTTGTAGAAACGATAAAACAACTTTAAAATAACTTCTGATGATATGAAGTTGAATTAACCTATTATCTTAAAATACGCAATACACAAATAAATCTTAAAATGCAGAAAATGTAGCCACCTAATTCAAGATTGTATCTCTTATCATCTGGGAAATCCGATATACCAATTCAAAATTACTATTTGAATTACCATCAGAATTCCTGAAACCCTATTTGTAGTGAAGATTCCAACGGCATCTGGTTTTATGTCACTTCAAGGCAAATTCATCTGCCTTAAGTTTAAACTTCTTCTTGAGTTTGAATCTAAATCTTCAATAGAGAAAACAGAATTAGAGCTCTTAGTTCCGCTTGCTCACACCTCTTCCTCTGCCCTTGCCCTCTCCTCACACCCAGATAACCAAAAATAAACACTCAAACTAGCAATATATGAACTGACCGATCTCAGGCTCCCAGGGACTTAGGACAACCAGAGAAAACAAAGATGGAGAGAAACGCTGCTTTGCAAACAAGGCCTTAATGAGGTACGTAAATAAAAACTCTTTTTACTGCTCCAGCTCTGAGTCCTTCTGCAGATTTCTCAGCCACTTCTCTCTCTCTCTCTCTCTCTCTCTCACACACACACACACACACACGACACACAGCCTCTATCAAACTGAGGCTTGAACATACACTCACATGTTGGAAACCCTCTCAGATCTGATGCTTTGCTATTTCTCCCCCATCCCCCGCCAAAAAAAAGCATCACCACCAAAAAGCCCGTCCTAAAAATTATGCTTTAACAATCTCTCTAATAAGACATTTCTATTCCATCCTGTCCTGGAAGCCTAACTGCTCCAAAGACAAGGAAAAACAGTTAAAAGAAAAGCCACAATTGATGTTTTCATAACCATCCATTAGTCTCCTCCAGGTCAAGCTCTAATAGTTTAATAGTCACAAATATTTATTAATTCACTTGGAAACATATCGCTTCTAATAGTGCCTTTCTGAATGCAAGTCAAGCATTCATTTATGCAACTAGTTTATATTTTTACCTGTTTACGTTTTATAATTCCAAGATTTATATACTGGGTGGAACCAATAATTAACTGCAACCAAAACAATTCAGAGAGGTTGGACTCGAATATAAAAATATGAATAGTTGAAACTTTTGAAATATGAAACAGTCAAACAACTATTCTAAGAACATTTCATCTAGAAAATGAAAAAGCACAATATTTGAGGCTGCAGCTCAGTGTCTTTCTGTCTTTATCCCTTAGATGAACCATGAAAATAGGCGCTAGCCTGTGAGTACAGAACCTACAAACATTGAGTCTTATGATAATTTGGCAGCCGACTTAAGAAGAAACTTAATATTCTCTGCCTCGCCATTCCATTCCCTTCTTGTTTGTTCTTCAGATGAAGTTATGGTTTTTGATACAGGAGATTTTCATGTTTTCTTAGCCTCGTTATAGGGACAAGTGGTGGCAGGAAGTAAAAAAAAAAAAAAAATGGGTCTAAGACAATCTATATAAATGTGGGCAAAGCCAACAATTCTGTAAACTAAGTGGGAGCTTTGCTGACCTAATTAAGGAGATCCGCTTCAACTGGGCTGCAGTAAAGTTGCTTAATGTACATATGGCAGATAAAGCTAGAATTATTTGTTAGGGAGTTAGGGGAGGGGACTGATATTTTAAACACCTTGTGAAATAATAATAATGAATTTCTTGCTTTTCATTTTTCTAATTCATTGGTAAACACTGCTGGTTTCAAAATACATAAGATTTTCAAAGAAAGAATAGGAAAACCGATAATGATTATATCCCAGAGAAGCTTGCCAGATATTCTGACTTCACTAATCTTAAGCTTAACTCCTCTAGTGGTGACTGAGAGGAAGGAAGCCAATGCATCACAGAACATATCAGTGTCATGATAAATTGATTCAGAATTAATAATAGCCTAGAACTTTCTGACTGTTTGCATCTAAACAGGCATGTAACATAGATCGTGAAGAAAGTTCGAGTCTGTATTTTCAAACTATATACTAAAATAAAATTGAATATCCCAGTAGATTGACTAAAAATCCATTTATTTCTTTTGGATAATTTATACTGCTACTTCCTAACTTTACTTTTTAACTACTATAACCCTTGCAAAGTACACCAAAAATGGAGCGAGATGAGTAACTTGTATTTATCTGAAATTGGTCTAAAAAATTCACTTCTAAAACATATGATAATCAAGATTGTTTTTAAGATATGGAATAATTTCTAAAGTATTTCCCAAATTGAATGGCTCAGCAGATTACACAATTGTCTAAAATATTTTACTATTTTAAACTTATTTTGGTTACACAAAAATCTTATAAAACACGTATTCCTGAATGTCAACGTGAGATCAGCTATGAAATGTAACTACTTAAATATACTATCAGTCGACCTGCCCTTAAAAAACCATACATCCATCATTCACGCAAAGCCATCCGAGAAAGAAGTCCCTAACACACATTCAGTTTCAATACTGGGTGGTTCTTATTTTGTTGGAGACAATTTGCCCATAAATGATGACCCAATGAAACGTCCCACTCTCTATTTCATTTCTTCATATATAAGAACATTAACTACTGTTATTTCAAATTAACCCTACCAATATGTACAGGTATAGTCTATTAAGCAAAACAATTTAATGTACTTAGTCTTCTTCATTTTTAAGTGACTGTTTTATTTGGACTTTTCAGTGATGAGAGTGACTGTCTGCACCTCTGGCCCCCCTGACACTCTCGTGAGTGGTGCCTGCACAAGGAAACGGGGCCCGCCAGCCCAGGGACCTGCGGTGGTCTCCGTGACTGCGCCCACCCAGTCTGCACCTTGCGGTGGCCATGCTTGCACCCGAAGCCAAATCCAAGGAGAGAAGAAAGGACTGCTTGCTTTTTCACTTGCTCTATAAAACCTACTTGAGCGCTAGGACTGTTTTCCTCTAAATTTTGTTTTGATCAACTATCAAAATGGGGAGAGTTTCAGGTGAAAAGGTGCCTTATCCAGAGACTAATTTTTTGCTAAATCGGCAAAGTTTCTACTTTTGACACTGGACACTGGTAATGAAAGTATTTACTCAAACAAAAAATAGTCTATTTCCATATTAAAAACAATCACTGTTGGTATAAAAATTAAGACGTCTCATGAAAACAGCTGATTTTATACTTTTTCTATTATCATAAATTTCATACTGTTATTAGTCTCAAAGCCTTCACTAATACATAATTGGAATACTGCAAACAAACAATTTTATGGCATTTAGTTTTGTTTATTTTTAAGAAATGTGATAAAGATCACCATGGTGATTGGGAAATGATGGTTAAGGGTTTTGTTTATGCATGGAATTCTAACATGGATAATTCGACTTCTAGTGAAACTTATGCTCTAAGTTCATCAAGGTCCAGAGGTTTAGTAGGGAGTAAATAAGCAAAAATATCTGTGAAGAAGTAATTTTTCAGTAGGCTAAGGTTGAAGTAAATACAATGCAACCATATCCTTATGCTAAAACCTTAAAAACATACACAGTACCTAAATAAATGTGAATAATAGCTTATGATACATATATAGTCAGGCTTATATGTTTAGACTTAGGTATATGTAGATTAAAGCATGTATTTTTATTTACATGACATCCACAAAATGTTCATGTAGTAATTATACAAAAATAATTGTAATATTAGTATGGTTAACCTTTAAGAAAACAAATTTTGTATGTCATCCAAATGAACTTGCATATTTGTTAACAATAAGGTTTTTTTTTTTTTTACTTATTTATAACTTAATGGCCAAAGCCACAAGAACACTAGGCACATAAATTATTTTATTGATATTTAGAAACAATCCAATGTTATATTTAAATAAGTGTTTAAATGTAACAAATGGTTATATTTAGTAACAAAACAAAGTAAAATAAAAGAAATTCTAAATTTCCATTATTTATAAAGCAAAACAACGCAAATGAATACTGTGCTGTGGAGAACTGTCAACAAGGAGATAAAATACAAAGGTTAAAAATGTTATGCACACACCATACGTATGGTGTGTATATTAAATATCCATGCATCTATGCAAAATAAAACCAGTCTATGTAACATTATCACAATCCAGTGACGTGAGGCTCCTAACTAATGATGAATACTGATATCACCATAAGTCACATCACCTAAAGGGAAACAGAACAGCAGGTCCATGGATTTGACAACTGAACTCATAACGAAGCGCACACTGACGAAGAAACAAGGTGCAAAGTGACCGTGAGACGTAGACACTCACCTTCGGTGCCATTGGGAGTCATGGAATTACTACTTAGGTGAGAGTTATCGAGTTTGGGGCCACTGGGGGAGTCACTACTAGCACTCAGACGGCTATGCGGGCTGGTTAGATCCTGCATTTCCATCGACCTAGAGACAAGAAGCCTTCCGTTTGACAGATGTACCAAATTCATACCACCACCACTTAATGCGCTAACGACTTGACACCTTCTTTGAAACATTTGCACAAAAGTCCCATTGTATCTACTAGACTCGAAATAGTTCATCTTACATTTTACCTTCAGTCACCCTTTCAATAACATGTAGTATTGAAAGGTGTCACCTGCCTTACCTATCCAGCCAAACATTCACCTGGAGCTTTAGAAATCTTTATTTTTTTTTCCTCTTATGTAGCTCAAGTCACAGGATCCAATGAGATAATTACATCTATTTTAATTTTTTTTTAAAAAGCAGTCATTCTTTTATATTTTAAAAAAAGGCTTTTTTTTTTTTTTTTAAAGACAAATATGTGGACAGGTACAAGAGGAAAAAAAAATCACTTTTCTATGGAATCTGTTTTATCTAGTAAATTAGCACTAGGTACTTCCTTATAATTTACCACCCAACTGTAATTTAATGGGTCTCCAAACCAAATAAAACACTCGAAGCCCATAGTCTAGTGACAGAGAATGAGATAGTCCTGATGCATGTGTTTACTCTGGCAAACTGCTTAATTGTTCCTCTGTTTCCCTTGAAACAAATGCAGCATTAAAACATTATGAAGTCGGCTCACTTGTTTGCTTTGTGGATTACATACAGCGTGCCCAATTGGAAAGGGATAAGGCCAGCGTGCAATGAGTCCCCGTGAGCATTAGCACTCAGAATACCTCAACTGTCACCTACTCAGGGAACTAACACTTCTACTTCAGCTCTCTGTCTGTGCATTTTTACCACACAAAAACGGCTAGCTCACCCCCCTCTATGAAAGAGCTGAGTCTCCACAGTCACTCATCCTATAAAAGGTACGGAAGCCGTACTCATGTTCACAGCTGCACAACTGTCCACGCAAACTCAATGTCCCACTGGTGAAGAAGAGGGTTTAAAGTGACGACAAACAAATCGGATACCATTCTGTTTCTGAAGTTTTGGAAAATCTAAGGCCCATTCGCTTTATTTCTCATTTGTGTTTCTTAAAGGGGAGGAGCCGTTTAATATAACATATCTGCAGCTAGGAGTGTTTGCTCCTCACCCTCTCCAGGTCAATAAAAGCTACTCATTTTAGTTTGGAGGGTGCACTTACTGAGTGTAAATGTTAGTTTTTAGAATGGCTTAATGTGAACCATTTTCCTTCTAAAGTGAGTTTTTATTCCCCAAATCTTCTGCGTTCAAACTACGAATGGTTTAAAATTCAATTTTTTTTTCTCCTAATTCTTACTACACATTCACAGTTTTCTTAGCTCCAGAAACTGTAGCCCATAATCATTTTCAAACCCAGGCTCCTATTCCCTTCCCACATACTCAAAACGTTTGACAAGCGTGCGTGCACGCGCGCACACACACACACATGCACACACTGCTAAGTAATTTCCAACAGAGGCTGTTGCTATTAATAGAAATAATTAAGAAATACTAGACAAAAATAGATATGGGTCACAGAAAGGTAATCTCCAAAAATGTCAAATATCAACAATATCCTTACCTGCAACTTGAGGAAACAGCAACATCTGAACTGGTTTGAGATGTTTGCACCTGTGATCAGGGGTAAAAAATTAGAGGCTGTTGTTACTCCGCTTCAGTGTCAGCTCTTAATTACACAGAGCACATGGCTGGGAACGACAATGCTCTCTTTAAACCAAAAGAGAAAGAGGAGGACACCGCAGCAGTGAAAGGCATATTGTCTTTAAGTTGAGGTCTCTACTGTTGTTTCCTCCTGCAGGTCTACCCCCCTCCCCGTGTCAGGGGGGGAAGGCAGCCAAATGACTGGATAGTGATTCATCACTGGCCTATGACAGCTGCAAACGGGATTACCCTTCCCCCAATCAACATGCAAAGCAGCCTTGCCCAGGCAGCTTGGAAAAGGTGCCTGGAAAATAATTGCTATTAGCAAAATGAGTGTGTTTCGCAGCAGCAGTCCGAGGAGTCATCCTCCAGCATCCTCGGAAGATCTTTCATCTTCTGCTATCGCCGGCTGAAATGCAGTTTCCCGCCCACCCCTTTAACTCCTGAGAGTTTCTTATCCTTATCACGATGTTGTTTGCCCCTATATTGACTAGTTGTCATTTAACATTCGCTGCAACAGCTTCTGGGCAACTTTCCGGTCGTGCTGGATGAACTATAAATGGCAAAGGCAAGTTTTCATACCCCGAGTCTCACCATTGGGCATATGCTCATTTACCCATGCAAATTTAAAATTCAGCTCATGCTGAATTCTCATCACCTGGTAAAATAGAAAAAGCAGTCAGCTTTTTACTTTTCCATCTTTTAACCCGGGAAAGAGGATGGATAGTTTAATAATCAATTCAGTGTCCCAGTCAGCCAGCATTTTGGTGTCTTTTATCTCCAGATGAATCTGTATTTCGGGACGTCTCTGCACAGCTAATGGAACAGGCTGGCAGGCTGCGCTAGTCACTGCCCTTCCTTCAGAGGCGGCGCAAACTGCCAGCAGGTGAGAAACTCAGGTGAAGGTGGGCTGCCGGCTTGCAAGCTCAGGCTAACGCCTGCCTTAACAGTAAAGGGTATTCTGCATAACGTTTGAAAGGACTCAAAATTCCAAATCTTTGATGTGCATCTTCATTCAACCTGAACCGACATCAATTAGGGTTACGAAACAAAGATGAGAACTCGAGCATCTCAAATGGCATTAAAGTTATCCAACCAACTTCCCCGGAGTCCTGTTATTTTTTAATTATGATTTATGAAATTAAGAGATACTACCTTTTGGCAAGAATGAAGCATTGTTAAAATCTAAATATCTTGGTGTAATGTTACTTGAAATGGCTGGGTATGCTTTTCTATAATATGCGAAGGATGAAAAATAACTTTCAAGAGATGCCTGAGCATTTAATGGAAATTTAATTTTAATGCCTGTAGATATGTCATTTGGGGATAACAGGCTTCTGCAATTTTTTGTTAAAATTAATGTTCTCACACAAGAGTTTTCTAAAGTTTTCCTTTAGAAACTGCAGCAATATGCCTCAAGGATAAATTTTCTTTTTTCTTTTCCACTTTTATACCCCTGGAATGTATTACAGGTGAAAACTTAGTTTTAAGAACTCTCTTGGCTTAATTATGTGAAAGAGTATGTAAAACATACTTTCTGTTAAATGTTAAAAATGTTAAAATACATTCCTATTTTAACATTAGCTAGGTAGTATGATCTTGGAAATATAATTTTAGTTTCATCGTATACTTTGAAAGTTTGATTATTTACATTTGAGGTTTAACCTACCATTTAAATTTCAAAGTCAAACTGTTAATAAAGTGAACTTCAAAATAAGAATGATTCTAACACATTTTCTCACTGGAAAAAAATGTATTTTCACAACATATTTCTTTTATGCTGACTTGACTGGGTCTCTACTGTACTTTCTATATACCACAATTTTTGAAAGTCCACATCCATGATCTTCATTTCATTAAGTATACTTCAGATATATTCTTTTGTGTCTCAAGTATTATTTAAACCATGTGTTGTGTGTTACTGTATTTAAAAATGACTCTTTAATCAAAATAACTTTAAAACAACTAATCCTCACTTAGGCTGGTCAGCTGAATCCACATCGTGGTCCAGGAAAAATAAATCTACTCTCAAGAATGCGAATGCAGACAACAATTAGACACAGATGTGAGCAAAATTAGTTACAGTTTACAAAATGCTACACTTCACATGCTTTTAGTTTTTATGTGTAGTACAAGATTACAGTGCAGTAAGGAAACATATTCTTATAATGACTTATCTAGAAAGCACACCTATTTCTGATTGGTGCTGATTTTCTCTTATGTCTGACAATCTCTCTGGAAGTTTCAATGTTTTCTAGGTCTAAAACCGTAATGAGTTTCAAAGGCAATTAGGCATATTTTCATTCAAAAGAGAAAAAATTATTTCATGGTTTTCAGGAAAAATGCTGTTAGGCACTCAGTAAACTTACATTTTCTGCTTATGTCCATAAACTTAATATATTTCTTGTCTTCTCCTAACCTAGTATTTTTAATTCAAATGCTCCTTTGAGTGCAGAAATATTTCCCATAATATTATACATGGCCATCTTACATTACAATGAAGTCATTTCACTTTAATGCTTTTTAAAACTCTTTGTATAGTATACCCACAGCAGCATACTGACAGAGTTGTGAAAATAGAGAGAAAAAAAGATAACAGAACTTAGAAGTTAAATTCAAGAATCCTAAACTAGTAACTTTGACTTCTGATTAGTTAATGAGGTCTTTTAAGTTTGCCTTTTTTCTAATTAAATTTATAATTCTTCACAGATGTAACTTTTGTTGATGTTCAATTTGTCTCTCTCATTTTGTTAAACCTCTCATAGTACTTCGCCAATCCATTGAATAGCCACATTAAATCTGTTAATACCATGCTCTTCAACCCCAGAAATTATTTCCAGAAGGCAAACTTGCTTTGAGAGATCATCAAACAAGACTTAAGGTACACATTTTATCACATTTTCCCTACCACAGAGCTCAGGATGCAGAGCAAAATTCATGACTTTTGCACTGTTTATTATACTTTGCTAAATTACAAATCAAAAGCATCTGACAGAAGATCATGTATGAAGCCAAAAAGTTAATAATGTTCTGTGAAAAGTAAACTGTAAATGGAAAGGGATTCTAAATCTCAGCAGCACAGAGCAAATAAAACGTAGGTACTTGTCTAAATTATGGGTTTTCCACAGGCTTTTCTGCTTGCTAGAAGCAATTTTTATAAAATGACTATAATTTTAAACTTTCCTTTTTTCAAACTAAAAAGAAATTTTCAAAGTGAAAGTACTGAACTTATCTAAATAAATAGAGTTGGCAGCGAGCTAGTTTCGCCCAACCGCAGATCAACCCGAGCACTCCCAAATTTGAAAGACAATGGCAATGTTACCTTAGGCATACGTCTGCTTTTTAATCACACTATATTCTTACTAAGACTCTACTCAATCAATATCTCCACCTATGGTGTCAATGTTGTTATAAAAACTTGAACCTAAAATTGAAATAAACTTTTGTAACACTTATCTCCTTCCTTATCAGAGTCCGTAAAATGACTGCTTTGATACTATTTCTGATTTCTAATGTAATATGCGGTGTTATTTTTGTAGTATGTCATTTAAAGAAAATGACGATACAGTCCCCTTGAACACAAAAACAAGTATTTGAAGGACACTGCTTCTACCTATAGTTTTAAAGGATTGTTTTCAAAATTCGTATTTAAAATGTTGAATGAAATACTTTTGACATCTAATTAAATGGGAGAAGTGGATTTATTCTCAATGGAAGTGTTTTTCTTCTTGCCAAAGTTTTCTTAAAAGTTTTCTTAATAAATTTCTTAAAAGTTTTCTTAATAAATTTTCAAATTCCAATAATTTTCTTTTGAGAAAATCATTGATCATGTCTGTGAATCTCATATAGCAAATGACTTCCCTTTGGCCCTCTAAAACTGAAGAGTTGGCTGAATTAGGCTTCTCTGTCAGCGCGAAGAGTTTTCATGACTAAAAATCCATGGCTACTTGCTCATCTACTGAATACTTGGGCCTGAGGAGAACTCAAGCAGCAAGAAAGTCAAATATCAAATATTTGATAATGCAAAAGAAAAAAAAGAGCATGACTATTCATGTACACATGTTCTCAAACCCAAAAGGTGGGCAAAAACACACACAAGCCTCAAATAAAACCTACTCTGAAAGACACTGTAAAAAAAAAAAAAACAAACAAGCCCAAACCTATACAACTACACTGTGTGCTTAACTATCGACTTTTTGTTACCCCTTGTCATTTTTAAAAAGTGAAACATAAAAACGCTTGTCTAAATTCAATGACAGCTCTGAATTTACTGAATTCTTGCAAATGTATGCTTAAATGTGTTCAAAAACTCCTCCCAAGACATACAAGCCCATGAGTCATTAGCAATTCATCTATGGAGTCTGAATGACAAATATTTTAAGTGGTAATTCAAAATTTAAGAACCTTGTTTCTGATTTCAAGGTCCATTAAAATCCTATAAAGTGTCGATAAGTGAAAAAATATATTAATTTGGCAAATGTTTATTATTTCACCTTTTGAAGATGAGCCTGTTTAATACGGTTGAGAAACTGGTTTATTGAAGTAAAAGGATTTCCTTCCTTAAAAAGTGGTATCTATTTTTGTTATCTCTTGTCCTTTCAAAATGTTAATTCCTTGTTTTCTCATATCGTCCTGACGTGTGTAGGAAAAGTTATCTGCCTGGTGCGATGGATGTATCTATGCGTATACACCGCTTTATTCAATATCACAAATAGTTGAGGTTTGTGCAATTCAGAAGAGATATGAAGTAATCTCCTTATAAGACTACGGCCGTGCAATATATGTGATATGGATCATGACAAAAGTAATTGTTAACAATTAATTTATAATCAGCTCTTAATGATTCTAATCGCTCAGATAATTTGGGGGTTAAGAACTACACTTTCATGATGGAACCCTGTGGCTCATAACGTACTAGGTACAAAGTGTCATAATCTTCCCCATGCCCTCATGTTTTCCTTTTAAAGGAAATCAAAACAATACTAAAAGCGCTCCTGTTATCTTGAGCTTTGCCCACAGGACAGCTGTTGTCAGTCACTACAATTTTTCAAACAGTCAGCTTGTACTTACAGCGCTTACATCTGCTGCGTCCACCAGTTTAACGCGCTCCTCCGAATTTTCTGGTTTAGCAAACCTCCATTCCTGACATAGTTTTGCTCCTGGATAAGGACGCGGGAGGGCTCTTAGGAGCTGGTGGCGGAGCCCGGCGCTCCTGGGAGCGGAGCGCGTGTGGCGGGGCGAGCCGGGCCGCGGGCGCAGCCGCCTGGCCGCTGCTGCAGGCGCGGGCTGCCGGGCGACTGAGCGAAAACGCGTTCCCCAGAAAGAAAACCGCCACAGCGGCCGGCGACAGGAAGGCTGAGAGTCGGAAGTGGCACTGGAGAGTCTCTCCCTCGCCCCAGACTCGGAGCCATCAGCTCCCACCGTGCTGTGGAGAGACCGCCTTGAGCCCCGCGCTGCGGCCCCACCAAACAGCAGCAGCTGATAGCATCTGAGCGCCCTAGACAAAGGAACGGCAGAATCGCATCCCTCGGTTTGTTTGCGCAGCCTTGTAGGTCTGCCCGTGGAGCCTCGGGGCTTTTTTTTTTTCCTCTCTTTCTTTCTTTCTTGTTTTTGCAACGCAAACCACAGCTATTCTCTTGTCCTAACCTTATTGGTTTAAATGCAACAATTGAAAGGAGCACACTGCTCGGTCTGACTCAACCTTGCTGCTTAAAAA